AGACTTCATTAATACCATTACTACTACATTTATTACACATTATTCTCTCTAAATCCGAGATTCTAACTTGGGCGTCGGAGGGTCTTGCGCCGGAAGAATTCCGGCGCGCTTTCAGGTACCGACGAACGTTCAAACTTGGGCCGAACCAAACCGGGTGAACCAATGTCGTAACCGGGAAGAACCCTTCGTAAGACCGAAGCCACCGATAAATATGATATTTCTATAAGAATGTATGCATGTATAATGTTTAGGCAATCTAATAGCATTTTTTTTAATATTTTTTTCTCAATTATCGTTATTATCATTTATTTACTTTTAAAAACAACTATTAGTACAACACTCGTGTATTAAAACTTGTTACAAAAATTATTCTTAAATTTTAAAATTAGTGAGAAAAATTATTTTAAATTATATTTACTTTGTTACAAAAATATATATTATTATATACTATCTCCTTTTGTTTTTTTAAATGTCATTTTGGTTTTATCAACCATTAACCAAATAAATGACATTTTGGTCATTCTGTACATATTTTTCCATTATTACCCTCATTTAGCTAATAAATACACTACACCTATTCATATTCACTCTTCATCTTTTTTTCAAAACATTTATCTTTATCTTCATTAAGGAGGGTTATTATTGAAAAAAAAAATTATTCTTAATAACTGTGCAAATTATCAAAACGACACTTATTATGAATATGAGGGAGTATTTTAGAATGACACTTGTTACTCGTGCGACTTATATGTGCTATATTATAATAAATTTTTATGACTTATATCATATAACTACTTGAAATATATATATATATATATATATAATTATAGATAAATAATTTTATTTTTCTAATTAATATTTAAAAACAATTTTATTATTGTTATAAAGATAATATAATTTTTTTTATACATACAATATGGATGTTAAATCGAAGTTCATCAAAAGATGATTAATTTGATATATTATATATGTAAAAGTGATAAAAAAAACACAAAAGTTATTTACTTTTAAAATACAACTACAATTCAATGGTTATAATAAGAAATAATATTAAAATGCAATTAATACATGTAACATGACCATAAATAATCAACATATTTATAGATAATTCGGACTTAATTATTTTTGGATTGGAAATAAACTAAAATTTATCCAAGCCTAATAACGAGACATGTAATTTTGCCACATAGGATACCAAAACATGCGAGTTTGCCACTTAGGCTCAACATGTTCTGAATTAATATATAGAATGACATGGACTTGGATATCTATGTTTGGTAAAACTACCTAATGAGTAGTTGATAGCTGATAAACTAGCTTATAACTTATCAATAATTTTTTAGCTTATGGCTATATTTGGTAAAAAAAACTAGCTGATAAGCTACCTGCTAAACTAGTTGATAGCTTATCAGTAATTTTTGAGTCTATAGCTTATACCTGAAAAACTAGCTTATATGATAAAAGCGTTTGATAAAATTAACTGATAAACTAGCTGAAAAGCCTGAAATAAAAATTTCAACAAGCTTATTTGAAAAACTACCCAAAGAAGCTTATGAGATAAGCTTGAGCTTATTAAAAAAGTTCTTCATACCAAACAGGACTTAGTCATGGACTTATTTGAATACAATGAAATTATAAGCTGAAAAACTAACTTATATAGTTGTATGATAAAAGTGTTCAGTAAAATTAGCTGATAAGCTATCTGAAATAAAAATTTCAATTAGTTCATTTGAAAAGCTACTAAAAAAAACTTATGAGATAAGGTCGGACTTTTATAAAAGAAAAAAAAAAA